CTAGGTGGGCTTATCCATTGCTTTTTGTTATGTGAGAGTCAGTTATTGTGATGAACTTTCCCCCAGTCTGATTCCCATTGGTTCATATAATCCAGAAATTCTCAAAACTTCTGACACACCAATGGCACCATTTTCCATTTTCCAGTACTGCTACTCACTTAACATTTTTCTTACATTTCATTTTAATTGGCCACAGACTATGCCAGGAGAAGCTATACTTTAGATCTGTACTGTCCAGTTGGGTAACCATTAGCCACATGTGGCTACTGAACACTTAAACATAGCTAATTCAAATTGAAATGTCCTATATTTCATTTCAGTTTGATACAGGGTGTAAAATGAACCCTGGACTGCAAAGGAAATAAATGTACGATATATCATTAATAATTTTTAATATTGATTATGTATCGAAACGGTGGTACCTTGGATATATTGGCTTAAATGAAATATGTAAGATTAATTTCACCTGTTTCTTTAACCTTCTTAAATGTGCTTATTGAAAATTTAAAATCACATGTGTGGCTCATATTTAGGGCTTATATTTTATTGTTAGTGGACAGTGCCTTAGATTAATCAATGTGCCTTATTTTGATTCCCTCCAAAGTTTTTAGTAGTTTAAAATTTTTATGACCATGTGTAATGTTGACTTTGGCTAAGAGAGATCTTTTTTTGTATTTTGGTAATTCTCAGAATGCCCTATGTGGGGCCTGAGACACCCTACTTAATGGGTGTGTTTCTTCTTAAGATAATCACTACTACCATGCTTAAGCAAGAACACCAGTGACTCTAAGCCTCTTCCAAAAAAAGTCTTCCGATTTGCAAAGAGGTAGGAGCATTTGAAGAGACTGCAAATCCCCTGTTCAAAGTCTCTGGTTTAAAAATAATACTTGCTTCCCAATTTGTATCATCAGTGTCCTAAACAAGGTAAAATGAGAAGGCATTTGGATGTCTGCACGGTCTTCTCTGTGTAAAGCTGTTAAAGGTATGAGACCAGTCTGTTACAGTGCCAGCAGGCACCCAGTGTGACTCACCAACCATGATGGTAGGTCTAGGTTAAACAAACCACTGCTGAGTCCTGAGGCTCTGAAGCTGTTTGAAGAGTTAAAAAGTCCTTGCTGGGAGCAATGTGGGTGATACATTCTAGTTAATGGGGGAATAAAGGGAGAGCAAACTCCTTTGATAGGAATAAGTCTCTTGGAATCCTGTGATTTCTGTTCCACTGAAATCTAGAAAATGAAAGTATACTCTCATTAGAGAGGGGGTGCAGCCCTAATTTTAGCAGACCCTAACCCATTATCTCACTTTTAAAAAAATTTTGGTATCATTAATCTACAATTACATGAAGAAAGTAATCTTCTATTTTATTCTACACTTTGATCTGGAATATTGATATTTCTCAAGTGCCTTTTGCTTCTGTTGAGCTAATCCTAAATTTTTTATTGGACATAGAGTAATTTCAAATATGAAAATCTGGGATTACTAGTGTTACAATCTTGATTTTCATATCCATTTCCAAGTGTGGAATTGGTCTATAATTTTATTCCTCGTGTCTTTTTCCTTCTTCAGTAAATTGTGTAGCCTCTCATTTAATTTTAGGTTCTGAAATGCCTTATGTATAATGTGGGGATTATTTGTTTTTTGATAGTTTGAAAAATCCAGAAAGCTATCTGGCCCAAGCATTTTTTTAATTGCAGTATAATTGGCATAGAGTGCACAAATAAGTGTACAGCTCATTGAATTTTACACCCATGTAACTACTGCATAGATCAAGATATAGAGCATTTATTAGCCCAGAAATTTCCCTTGTGCTCTCTCCTAGTCAATAGCCATGCATGTCCAGAAGTAGCCACTACTATGGTTTCTACCACCACAAATTAGATTTGCCAGCTCTTGAACTCATTAAGTGGAATCATGTAACACTTTTTTGAGTATGAATTTTTTTTTCACTCAACATAATGTTCTTGATATTTACCCATGTTGTTGTTGAATATTATAGTTCATTCTTTCTCACTGCTATATAGTATGCTATTGAAAGGAATATGCCACAATTTGCTTATACATTCACCTGCCAGTGGATATTTGGGTTTCAAGACTATAACACTCATAATCCTAAATGACTAAAGCTTCTTTGGAAAATTCTATCATACACCCTTTGGTGGTCATATGCTTTCATTTACACTGGGTATTTTAGGAAGGTTCTAGACATAAGGTAAGTGAATATTAAACTTCAACAGTTTGCAAAGCAGGTTTACTATTTTACATTCTTAGCAGCGAAGGTATGAGAGTGTTAATTGCTCCACACCCTGGCTAACATTTGATATTGTATTTTTCATTTTAGGCATTATGGTGGGTTCAGTATAGTATCTTATGATTTCAGTTTACATTTCTCTGAATAACTATGTTAAGCATCTTTTCAAATGCTTATGTTGGTCTAAGGGCTTTTATTAGAGATTTTTAATTTTTTTCATTTGTTGGTCTTCAATGTTTTCTATTTCTTCTTGAATATTTGCTGTAATGATCTATTGTACCATGTATATTATTGAACCAACTTTTGCAATTGCTTTTTTTCAGAAAATGCATCACCCAGATTTTCAAATTTATTTAAGAAATTTTAGGAAGATTTAAAATTTGCCTTTGCAACTATATCCTTTTTATTATTCCTTATGTTCTATACTTAATTTTAGCTTTTGAAAAGTAAGATTGATGAGTTTTGCATATTTTGTTCATCTTTTGAAAAAAAATGTCTCTCAAATTATTTTATCAGTTCTACTGTTTTTATGTTCTCCCTTTTGTTAATATGTGCTTTTAGCTTTATCAATCACTTAACCCTTTTCATTTGAATTTTTGTCACTCTTTTTCTATGCTTTTCAGCTTAATGATTTATTCATTTATTTTTGTTTTTTCTAGGTTATTAGTAAAACTTGGTATAAATTCTTCTTCTGTGATGATCTAGATGTAGTATTTTCCCTCTGGAAAGAACCTTGTTGCTTTGTTGGTTGCTTCTTGGACATACAAGGTATTTAGGGGAGTCTTAATTTACAAGTATATAACATTTTCCTCATTAATGTTTCATTTCACTGCATTATGTTTAGATAATGTTATCTTTATAACTTCTATGTTCATACTGTAAGTTCTCCAAAAATCTGTGGCTTTATTGCCCATCATGTAGTAGGTAGAATACACAATTATGATGATGTGATCAAGTGGAGGCCAAATATACACGTCAACAGCTTGATCTCACAGCGAACAGGGTAGACACACTCTTTGCCCTCGTGGAGGGGGCTCCCTAAGAGGCTATGTCATGTTAAGCAGCCCTAGTGAGATTTGAGCTCATGACTCCTTATTTAGAAGACCCGGACTGTAATTGTCTGGCTAGAGAAAAAATGAAAGCCAGCCATTGGCTCTGAGGAATCCAGAGAAGCAATAGGTGAAGTCCAACATTAGTGGTCTCTCTGGTTTCTTGAGTAAATATTGGTCATATATGTTTTTGCTGAAATCAATCATTTCATTAAAATCACCAGATTTATTGGCAAAGGATGACATACAGTGATTTTTTTAAGTTTTATTCTTCTTTGAATCAATGCTTATATTCTATCTTCCTGCCCTCCTGGTGGCATTGCCAGGTCTGTCCTGTTCTTAGGACCCACGGGCCATTCTCCCACCCTTCCTCTGCTCCCACAGTCCGAGGAAGTCTCTTTCCGGTTTGCTGAACAGAAGCCTCACACCACCTTCCAATCTTGCCAAGACATTTGTTTCTTTACCACCAAATTCTATCTTACTCTGGGACTCGGGCTTTTGGAAATAAAAGCCAGGAAAACTTGTGGGCCATTTATGCTTTCCTGCCACATCTCTATCCTGAGGCAGTGAGCTCAGAGCTGACTACCTATTTGAATGGGGCAAGTTAAAGTGAAAAGCAAAGAAACAGAACCTTCAAAGAATAATTTCAATACCATAGTTTTGAAATACTCACAAGCTGAGAGAGCAGAAGAACTGTTTCCCACTTCTTGAACTGGTTGATTTGTACCATCTGTTACATGATTCCCAACGTTTTTATGTATGCCCACTAAGGGGAGGCCTTTTGCTTGCCCACCTGCTATAGTCTCTGACCAAGGGGAAGCTGTATTCATGGACAGTCTGACACTAACTCTAGCTATCTGTCCTTATTATCAGATGTGTGAATAAAAAACATTTCCCAGTTCCTTCTTCAGAAAGCTTTACTCTCAGAACTCATTCTGTCCATGCCGCCGTCTGTAAGACTGTCTCTTGATAATCCATACTAACCTCAGATGTGTAACTGTCCTGGGAGCACTCCTGGATGAAAGTCAAGCTCAGAGGTTAGACTGTTGGGCTGAAGTTTCAGATCTGCAGCTTAATAGGTATGGGACCTCGGTCAAATTACTTAATGAGCATAAATACCAATTTTTTAAATCTAAAAAATAAATATAATAGTACCTATCTCTTAGGGTTGCTGTGAAAGGCAAATGAGTTAATGCATATTACATTTTTATCCCAGTGTTTGGCAAGAGCAAGCACTGACAGATGTGTTTGTGGCCTTATTATCACTATCGTCATCGTTCTGAGGGAGAGAGATGGGGACTGGCCTTCTGGTCTCTATTACACTATCTCTATCACTAAGCTAGAGGCATGCAGAAATGTTTTCTTAGACCACTTCCTACCTACTTTCAGATTGTGTTACTCTAGCCCCATCCATGACGCACTTATGGAACATCCTTATAGAATTCTGGAATATGGTTGATTTTGACCTATAAAATCACATGCTTTTGGCTTTTATAGTTTTTCTTTATGTAAATATTCATTTCTTATATTCTTGGGAGAAGACAAATAATGAGCTTAACCCTATGACTTGTTGGTATTTAATGAAACATATCTTTTTGAAAGTTCTGCAGTATGTATATTTCTGTGTATGTGTATATACATAGAGTTCTATTTTCATACAAATTATTCTTAATTTTTAAAAGGTATAACAAAGCAACATAAAAATGGGAAACCAAACTGTCATCTCAGAGTTTCTCCTGCTGGGCCTGCCCATCAGGCCAGAGCAGGCCAACCTATTCTATGCCCTGTTCCTGGCCATGTATGTTACCACCGTCTTGGGGAACCTCCTCATCATCATCCTCATCCGCCTGGACTCCCACCTCCACATGCCCATGTATTTGTTCCTCAGCAATTTGTCCTTCTCTGACCTCTGTTTTTCCTCGGTCACGATGCCCACTTTCCTGCACAACATGCAGAGGCAGGTCCCATCCATCCCCTACGCTGCCTGCCTGACCCAATTGTACTTCTTCCTGCTTTTTGCAGACCTGGAGAGCTTCCTCCTCGTGGCCATGGCCTATGACCGCTATGTGGCCATCTGCTTCCCCCTGCACTACACCTCCATCATGAGCCCCAGGCTCTGTCTGTCCCTGGTGGGGCTGTCCTGGTTCCTGACCACTTTCATCTCCTTGTGGCACACCTTGCTCATGGCTCGGCTGTCTTTCTGTGCTGATAACCTGATCCCTCACTTTTTCTGTGACATGTCAGCTCTGCTAAAGTTGGCCTGCTCTGATATTCAGATAAATGAAATGGTGATAGTTATCTTGGGAGGGCTCGTCATTATTGTTCCATTCCTGTTAATCTTTTCATCTTACGCACGAATTGTGTCCTCCATCCTCAAGGTCCCTTCTGCCAGGGGCATCCGCAAGGCCTTCTCTACCTGTGGCTCCCACCTCTCTGTGGTGTCTCTCTTCTATGGGACAATCATTGGCCTCTACTTGTGTCCTTCAGCTGACAATTCTACTGCTCAGGACACTGTCATGGCTGTGATGTACACAGTGGTGACCCCCATGCTGAACCCCTTCATCTACAGCCTGAGGAACAGAGACATGCAGGGAGCCCTGGGCAGAGTCTTGTCAAAGTGGGTGATTCAGCTTTCTCTGGGACAGTGACCCTAAAGATTAAAGTATGCTTTCAAATAGTCGGTGTAATACTGACAATGATTACTATTCAGAAAAACCTAGAAGCACCAGGCGTGGCACTGCTAATGCAGCCCTGACAGCACTTCCAGGGAGTGTCTTCCCCCATGGCACATGGGGCAGGTTCATTGTGTCCCTGGATTTACTTCTGTATCTCACATGCAATGCAAGACAAGGACTGACATGTAGTGGACACTCAGTGATTGTTACTCAATGTCAAATAAATCCCACCTAACCTTGGTGTGTACTGCACCCAGAGAATGTATAGTGGTTCCCAATTCTCTAAGAAATTAATCCGAACTTCTCAGCCATTTTAACGCTTTGCATCTGTCAAACATATCTATCTGGCAAGAATTTCTTCCGATTTATTATGTACATGCACTTGTTATTTTTTATTATCAAGGATCATCATTTCTCCCCTTGCTAACCTATTCAGTTCCTAATTTTCTTTTCAGGTATTGATTGATCAAACTATTAAAATGATCTCCTTTAACAGTACCAATCATTAGTCAGTTAATGACAAATTACTTATTTTGATAATATTTCTATTTTGGATGAGAATTCCTCTTTTGAATTAAAGCATATAATATGAAATGGACCATAGAATTATGTTATGAATTGATTAACTTGCAGCCAGTAAAATGGTGACCTGTATATAGCCTAAAATAACACAAATAGTGACAGAAGGATTACAATCTATTTAGGATCCCCAGGTATATATTTTCTCCTCGGAAATACAGTGCCGAAATTAGTCGATGCTTGCTTTATGTCTTTTCTTGCAAGGGTCTTGAAGACAGATGCCTTCTCATCTCTGCAATGCCTCATTCAGTCAGTGCCTTGTATCTGCAAGATGTAGAATAAATAGCTATTGATTTGATTGACTACATTTTCATATGTTTCTTAAAATGAATTTGTCTCAAAAAACCTTATCTTTTAAAAGAAGTCTTCCTAATGATGCCAACTTTGATTTCATTTCTTTAAAAGCTTTTACTATGAAAATAATTATTCCTGGGAAATATCCAACAAAGAAGGAAAGTGGAATGTGAGGATCTTTCATAGTTCTGTTCCCCCCTAGAAAGGTAGTTAAAAGTTGGGGCATATTCTTCCACGTATTTTCTATGCATATGCTAACTTTATATATAAGAAATAAATAGGACTCGATTATGCATCCCATTTTGTCATTGTTACCAAGTAAAATACATATTGAATTCATCATTTCAAATAAGGGAATGTAACTCTTTTGGACATATATAGTGTTTTGTTGAATCGATACATTTACCATAACTTAAAGAACCTATTCTTGATAGTCATTTAAGGTTGTTTTCAGGGTTTTTTAAAATTATTATTTTGAATAATGCTTCAATTTTATCTCCTGGTCCCTATGTTTTCCTGTGGTCTTGTGCTGTGTCTCTATGAACACATTCTTAGAAGTAGCTATACTAGATCAAAGGATGTGAACATTTTATAATTGGGTAGAAATTGCCAAACTGCCTCCAAAGAATCCTAGCGAGGTAAACTCCCTTCAAAAGGAAATGAGAGTGGCGGTTTCTTCATGATGTTCCCAACGTGTCCCTCCTGTTTCCATATCCAAAGTATGATATTTTACTATTTTTGGATTGAATTTCTATGTGTATCAGTGAGGTCACAAACATCTCTTCAGATTGACCACTTCTCCTTTGGTGTGCTATTTATGTATGTCCTTTGCTTTGAGTCACCTTTCTTTTTTCTTACTGGATAGTGTCACTTTATCCATTGTGTAGGTGACATTTCCCTCAGTTTGTTATTCATCTTTTGACTGCTAGTGGTGTCTTTTTTCTCTTACTGAAGACTAAATTTCAAAGTAGACAAATAAGTGGATTTTTATTTCATGATATATTTTTGTTCTTTGACATGCTTGGAAAAGCCTTTTCTATTTGAAAATTACATATTCCCATTCATTTTTATAGTCCTAGTGCAGTTTTAGTTTTTTTGTATCTCTGTCTTTTGACGGACCTGAAGTTTGGTTTCAGGGCGATTACTGTCTTTCTCTTCTCCCCTTCCCCAGAATGTCAGTTGTTCCCATTTTCACTGATGTAAAATAACTGCCTTTACAATGTACTAAGTGTTCATGTGTGCCTGGCTCTGTTTCTGGACTCCATTATGTTGAGATCCTCCTATTTAGCTACTAGTACTACATGAGATATACCTTCATAATAGCAGATTTTAAATATCTTGTGGGACAAACCTACTCAATATTCTTATCTTCCAAAGTTTCCTGACACATTTATTCTTTCAGATATGCTTCAGATCTGTTTTGTTAAATTCCAATTAAAAAACTGTTGGGAAATTAACTGGAGTTACGCTTAATTGTTACATTGATTTATGAAGTAGAATAGCCTGTTTATACAGTTATCTTACCAACTTTCAATAAGGAATAGTTTTCTATTCAAGTTTTCTTTTCTTAGATGAATTATGCAGATTAATTTGATGCCTGTGTATTACTTTCTACATTTAGTCCTGGGTATTTTACATTTAAAAAAAATATTGTAGGGGGAGGTCCTGTTTTTGGATAGGTAATTTTTTGTACACAGAAGAGTTATTGGCTCTTTGCATATCAATTTTGTAACAGTCCACCTTATTAAGTTATCTTACTGTTTTCTAATAAGGATTTTCATTAAATATCTTGGGCATTGGAAGTATACAATCCAAGGTAATATAAATGCTGATAAGATTGCATACTCCTTTCAAATACATAGTTCTGTTCATCTTTCACTTTTCCAATTGTGTTGCATACCACTCAAGAATAGTGTAAGATAACAGTGTTTCTAAAGAGGGTTTAGAGGTTAATATGGTGCCCTGCTCTTTGTCCCCCAACAACCAGGTGAGGGAATTATGATAGACTCTTCCAAATAGTTTTGAGTATTGGAGGGCATAGTAAGCTTTCCCGACTGGTCAGGTGGTACTCTGGGGGGAGGCACTTTGCAGAAGAGCTCACGATTACATGGGCAACCAAATCATGGCAGTGCTGGCCTGGCAGAGTCTAAGGTTCCACCTCTACCTCCACATGCACACAAACACGAATCTTCTCAACCACCTTGGGCTATGATGACCTGAAAAGGTTTTACATGCAGGGGCGGAGTCCCAACAGTAGCTAGGAGTTGAGAGCCAGTGGGTCTCCTGAGGCTATCAGGATAAGGCTATCAGAACCCCAAGAAGCAGCTAAGGTCAGAACCCAAAACAGATGGAAGACAAGGCTGAATCTAAGAGAATCAGCAGAACCAGTGAGGCCTGAGGAGGCCATCAGCTCCCTTCCCCCACAAAAAGTCAAATATTGTTCAGGCTGAGATGTCAGGTTCCATCAACAGTGGACATTTGCAGAGACACGCCTCTCGCTGTCGAGAGGATATATAAGCCTCAAGAAATTAGAAAAAGCCTAACAAAATCAACACAAAGACAATAGGAGGAAGGAATTAATAAATATGAAAGTGAAAATTAGTGGAATTGAAAACCAAGAAATAAAGTAATAATAACTAAATGTTTGTTCTTTGGAAATATTAATAACAACAGATAAAAGGCTGGCATGTAACACAAGAGAAAAAAGAGAAAAGGCCTAAGTAAAGAACTTCAGGAGTGAAAAAGGAGCAAAATTAGCAGCTGAAGAGGCAAGTGAAAGAACTCACAAGGATACTATATACTTTAAAGAAAAAAAAAAAAGAAAATGCAGGCAAAATTACATTTTAGGAATTTATATGCTATGAAACTTTGCTTACTATGATGAAAATATTGAATAGACTACAAGTTATTGAGGAAGATGAACTTACTCTTTTGACTCTGGAAAAGCTGCTTGATTTCTCTAAGCCTGTTTCTGCTCTTACACAATGAAAGAATGGCATCCTTCTCCTGGAACCTGTGAAGTATGAACAAGAGCACTAAGGACAGAGCCTGGTGCATAATAATTCCTAACTGTTATATTTTATTATGTTTATTACAAGGATATCATTACACCACTGTAATAGTGAAACACTGGAAAACCATAAATGTTTATCAATAAGGGAATGGTTAAACTGTGGAAAATCACTATAAGGATTCTACAGAATGAGGTTAAAAACGTAGAAATTCTTATTTGTAATGGTAAGAAAAGATTTCCTAAATGGATTGTTTCATGGAAAAGGGAAACTGCAGAACAATATGTAGAAAATGATATAATTTGTGTTTAAAAACCAGAGAGAGAAGGTACTGACCTGACAACTGGGATAGAGTAAAGGTGGGATGGGGTGACAGTCAAGGACAATTGTAACTTTTTCTCAATTTTTAAAAATTTGTACCATGTAAATGGAGGATATGGTAGCTGAGGAACAGAATTAAAAAAATTTTTTAAGTACTTTAAAAAAAGCCAGATCTTTCCTGAAGTTTCTAGGAAAGGAGTCTGCAGAGGTATGGGCTTCACTGCAGCATATCCAGAAAATCCTCTCTGAAAACCTCTCTCAGACCGCAGTCCCCTCCATCTACTACACTGCTGGCGCCGCTCTCTCCCTTCTCCTTCCCAGTAGTTACCAGACCCATCCCCTACCCGTGTGTTCCGGAATTCAGAAACAGCCTCTGTTTCAAATATTCCGACAATACGGAACCGAATTTAGCGTATCGCTCTGTACCCATCCGTATGGGTAAACATTTTGTCACGTTTGCTTCAGGCCTAATTTTTAATTTAACAAGAAATAAGACGCTGTGGGATCAAAATTTCCAGTATTTTTGAAAGTTAAAACAAAACAGGTGGGGGTCTTTCATAATCGTTATTATTATTGAAATACCAGTGAATCCAGACCAGCCCTTACACCTCTTGGGGTGCAGCCTTCCATCTGAGGCCCCTTTTCAGGGCGCCCTTGACCTCCTTGTTGCGAAGGCTGTAGATAAAAGGGTTCAAGGTCGGCGTGACCACCGCATAGACCATGCTGGCCCCGCGGTCGTAGCTGGCCGAGTAGGCAGACGACGGCCGGAAATAGACGGAGAGGACCGAGCCGAAGAAGAGCGACACCGCCACCAGGTGGGCCCCGCAGGTGGAGAAGGCGCGGCGCCGGCCCCCCGCCGAGCGCACGCCCAGCACGGCAGCGAGGATGCGCGCGTACGACAGGGACACGAGCAGCAGCGGGGTCAGCACCACGGCCAGGCCCTCGGAAAAGATGGCGGCCTCCGCGGCCGACGTGTCCGAGGTCGCCAAGCTCAGCATCACCATCATGTCACAGAAGAAGTGGCGCACCAGGGCGCGGCGCGGGTAGCGCAGCGCGGAGATGAGCAGGGTGTGCAGCAGCGCGTGCAGGTGCGCCACGGCCCAGGACGCGCCGACCAGCGCGGCGCAGCGCCCCGGCGTCACCAGCGCGCCGTAGCGCAGGGGGCGGCAGACGGCGGCCGCGCGGTCGTAGGACATGGCCGCCAGGAGGTAGCTCTCCGTGATGCCCAGGGCCACGAAGAAGTACATCTGGGCAAAGCAGTCCTGGAAGGACACGGCCTGGCCCAGGCGGAGCAGGCCGGCCAGCAGCCTGGGTACCGTGACGGTGGCGAAGCAGATGTCCACGAGGCCCAGGTGGCCCAAGAAGTAATACATGGGGGAGCGGAGGGCCCTGTCGGTCCTCACCACCACCACCATGCTCAGGTTGCCCAGGGCGTTGAGCAGGTAGACGCCAAGGATGAGCAGGAACAGCAGCGGGTGGAGGTCGGTTCCGTCCATCAAGCCCAGGAGGAGGAACTCTGGGGCGGATGTGAGGTTGGTCGGGGCCATGGCCCGGCCGGGCAGGTGGGGATGCTGGGGGGAGAGAGGGGCAGCGGGCCTAAGTTCTGGCGTCTCTGGTGTACCTCTCCATGTTGAGGTTCCGTGTCATAGTTTAAATTTCTGCATACTGAAATGGCTTGAAAACCAAATTGCCCACCCAATAATCCTAAATTTTATGAAGAAACTGAATTCCAGGAAGAGTGTTCTGTGGGAGTGGGTAGTCTCAAGCTTTGAAGTAGATCAGACCTGATTTTGAGTCCTAACTCTACCTACCACTCTGGTGGTGTGACCTCTCTCAGCTTCAATTTCTTCAAGTGATGAAAATTCGAGCAGCTACTCCTGGAGTTCGTTGTGAGGATAAAGTGGATAATAAGTTTAAAGTACTTACCACAGTGCCCTGCCCTCAAACCTGTTATCTTGTGAGCTATTATCTCACTGTCGCTCAAACAAGTAGTTAGAGGCAAAACTGGGATGCAGGCCATCTGAATACCAATCGGAAGTTCTTAATAAAACACTTTATAGCATTTTCCACTCATTTATTTACCACATATTATGTGCTAGCTCAGAAATTGGCAGGCCTTTTTTCTGTAAAGGATTATATTATATATATTTTAGGCTTGTGGGCAATATGGTCTTTGTTGCCACTACTCTACTGTTGTATCAACTAAACAGCCATTGATAATATATAAATGAATGGCCATGGCTGTTTTCCAATAAGACTATTTACAAAAACAGGTGGAGGGCCAGATTTGGCCTGTGAGACATAGTCTGCTGACCCCTGTGGTAGGTACTGTGGGGAATAGGGAGATGAGGGAGTCTTAGCTTCTGCCTGTGAACAGTTTGATCTGGAGCAGCTTGCAGAGTGTTTTGGAAGTAAATTATTCTGCCAAGAGGAGTTTGGGGAGAATTTAAAGATGCAGTGAAATTTGAATTGGGTCTTGGGGAACGAATAAGGTTTCACCCCACAGACATTTTGTAGTGTGAGACCAGGAGGGCATCAAAGAGACACAGGGAAGGGACTGAGCTTGTTGGTAGAGGAGGCACGGAATCAAGACGGTGAAACACCCACATACGGTATTAGGACAGACTTTGTCTTTACTCTGACCTCAGTCAACAGCAAACTTCAGTTTCTCGGTTAACCTAGTGACTTCAGTTACCTAAGAAGGCATTCATTTTGTCCTCCGCTCAATCTCTTCCTTAAGACCCATTCTTTTCTCCCATTGCTCCAGTTTCTAGAAATGTCCTATCACTAGCCTGGCCCATCCCTGCTGTCTCAGACCCCCGGAAGTGGGCTGAGTCAGTTCTTAGCAGGGAAGCTCCTTACGGGAAGGAGCTGTGTCCCACTATCCTGCCCAGGACCTGGACACAAAACTTACCTAATTAATATTTGCTGAATGAAGCTTTCTAAAGAGCAATTAGAGAAAATGGAAGTGAAGGGAGGGTGAAATAGATGGGATGATGGGCAAATGTCTGTGTCCACTCCTGTCTCTTCCCAGAAGAGCCCCAAATAGAGCCTATGTTTTAATTTTCTGCCTCTCTGTCACCAATTGGCTGTCCCAGGGAAATCATCTGCTTAAGCCAATCCCACCCCCCACCCATTGCCCCAATGTAGAGCCAGTGTTCAAGAGCCAGGATCTTGGCACCTGTCTGGTACATCCTCCTTTGGGGAGCAGGATTCTCCCCTGTAGAACCCCTACCCTCCTGCCCCACCTCCAAGCGGGCAGCCATGTGATAGTCACGTGAGGGAGAGGAAAGGGCACTGGCTTTAGATTCAGAGCCGCCTGGGTTTCAATCCTGATTGTCTGTGTGTGTACATATGGACTTATCTTTGTTTCATCTTCTCTGTCCTCATCTATAAAATGGGAATATTGATTATTCCCCTCTTAATGGCTGCTGTCCAGGTTAGATGGGGTAATGTATGTGGAAGCATGTAGCAGAGAATGGATGCTCAGTAGACGTTAGCTCCCTTTCCGTCAATTCTGGAGGCTTCTCCCTGTTCTGTGACTGAGGCCATCCAGTCTACTGCTTGGAGAGCTGTGGTTATTTAAATATGTTTTTCTTCCTTTTGGCTACTGGCGGCTACACACCAGATCCATTTTCTCTGCAGCTTTTCATATAATGTTTGAATAAGTCCATTCTGGGTCTACTAAGTCTTCTTTCTTTGTACCCAAACATCCCTGGGGCCTTAGATTCTTTCTTATAGGACCTAATTTCCAGGTCCTTTCCCATTCTGGTCTGCTCTGTCAACGTTTTTCTTAACAGGAATTGGTCCACACTGCTGTAGCTGCAGTTGGGTTGTGTGGATTCCCTGGGAGAAGTACAACAGCTCAGCCACACACTTCACACCTATTTGTTGTATGTCTGCTTTGGGTCAGTCAGGTGCTATGTTGATCTCTAGGATTTGCCCTTGACCTCCAGCCCTGCACAATGTGATAAATGCTACCCTAACAATCTGAACAAAGTAGGAGGGATTTCCTCTGGTTGGCTAATCAGGGGAAGAATCCAAAGAAGAGGTAGGGTTTGGACAGTATTAGAATGAGTAGATCACCAGACAGAGATGTCAGAGTGGGAAGGGCTTTCAGGCAGGGAGGAGAGACTGTGAAGGCAGAGGAAGATGTTTTGTGGCTAGGGAGAGCTCACACGTGGCCTGTGTAAGGCAGAGTGGAGCAGGATGGGGAAGGGGAGAGGGCACAGGCCAGAAGACAGCAGGGGAATGCTGGGTTCTCACCTGAAGGGCAGCAGGCCAGGCCTCAGCACTGTCTGCAGAGTCTGTGGGCCAGTCTCCCTCCTGGCCGGAGGTCCCTGGCCTTGAGGTCAGATGCGTTGTCATCCATCTTCACTCAGAGACTTTGGCCTGTTCCTGGGGGCTGGGACAGCAGCCTTAGAGAGAGAAAGCCAGAGCTGTAAGGGCCCTGGATTCCTGAGCCATGTGCTCCCCCTCGTCTGGCCAGTCTCCCCATTGCCCATCAGAATACAGAACAAACTGCTTGGCCTGGACCCAAGGCTTCTCAGCATGCTTCCAACATTTCTCTCCAGTCAGAGCTCCAGCTGCTCCCACGTGCTTCCCTTCTACACCCCAGCCAGGCCAGCCTTGTCCCTGTCCCTTGCTTGCACCCTTCTCTCCTGTGAATTTCCTGCATGCTGTTCTCTCCCTGAGATGCTCTCCCCAATTCCAGCCCACCTCCTCCAAGAAACCCCACCTCCTTTCTTGGTTTCTCCAGCCCACATGAATGCTGGCCTCCCATATGACTTGTAACCCTCATTTGGACCTTGACTCTCTTTGCTGGGATTAAAGTAACTTTTTCTGCGTGATGCTCATCTTTCCCACGAGATGACAAGCCTTCTAATGTCAGATATTTAGTTGTCTGCTCCTATCTGGCCCTAGGCCTGACCCAGGCTTTGTCTTAACTCTCCTGGCAGTCAGGGAAGACTCCACAGAGGAGGTGGCATTTGGGCAGTGCCAGCTGGAGGGACAAGGCAGTCACTGGATAGACAGAAGTGGAAGGGAATTTCTGAAAGAGGGAAGAGAATGTACAATGACAGAGAAACCTCACAGAAGTTATCTAACCTTTTTGAGGCATATACATTTAGCAAATAGATGTTTAATAAGTGTCAATTTCCTCCCCAAGCAGCCCCTAAATACTTTCGGTGATGGGCTGCATTTGTGTTGGCTCCGCCTGAGATGCCTGGCACAGGACTGGTCTCCCTGGTCAACAGCTGAGCTGCTGTTGTTGACTCGGAACTCTCCCTGAGGCCCAGGCATGGCAGGCATTTGCTTTGAAATGGATGGGAAGCATTAACTTAAGGTCACAGCATGAGGCAGAAATACTTCTGAACAGAAACCCTATCTCCCAGGCAGCTTGCTGCCCTAAATCCTATGCAGAAAAAGTCGCCTTTGTAGCGAACACTCTGATGCACCAAGACACAGAGGTACACCAGAGACACACCCACACACCACAGGACAGGAGTATGTGCACAGCCATGCATGGACACCCGTTTATGGTCATTTACACACTTGTACACAAGTCCATCCACAGACATTCATGCCACATACATAGAAGACCCTAACACAGACAACCCCCCTCCCCCCACCAATACACACACATGCCAGAGACGTCAGGAGACTCCCTGGGCTCTCCCAGGCAAGCAGGCTCTACACGCAAACACCACCACCTTCCTCCTTCCCCACTCTTGCCCCAGGTCTCCATCTGCCTTCACAGAGTGGGAGTGAGCAGTGGCAGACGGGATGCCGTGGCTGCCCCAGCACTCCCAGTCCTGGGGGTTTCTGTCCAGTTCCTTGGCTCCAGTCTCTTTCTGGTCAGCCCAGATTCTTGTCTCCATGCTGTCCCAAAGACCTTTCTCTTCAGCCACAGTTTTAACCCAAGACGAGCCCTTTCTAGTCCAAGGGCTTCCTCCCCTCCTCTGCTTGCTTCTGCCAACTTCTCAATTCATTTCTCTTTAGGATTTACTTACGCATGTAAAGCAATCTAACCTGTTGTATCTACTCTGTGCCAGGCAGGTACCTGCAGCAGACAGGGGAGGCCTTCAGAGCTGAAGAAGACATTGTCAAAGAGTTCATCCTCCTCTCTTGGTATCAGGCAATTGGCAATGATTCTAGGTTCTCATCTCGCCCACCACCTGTGTCACAATGGGAAGCAAGGCCCAGAGAGCACTGTGCGTGAAGTCATCCAGGCATTTGGGGACAGAGGCAGGATTTGAATCCAGGTTGCATCCTACCTATGGTTCCGTCTGCCACACGTTGGCGGCTGCTTCTTACCACTCTCCCTCGTCCACTTGATTTACCTGCTTCCTTTCTGCCCTTGAGTATTCCCCTCCCTGTCAGCAAGCCTCCTGCCTGACGCCTCACCTGTGTGCACGACTGTCTCTGCCCTCCACGCCACATACCTAGAGGCTGATCTGCTTTCAGCAGGCCAGGAATTAAGGCAGGTGTGCCGAGAGGAAGATGTACTGTGACAGCCAAAGGCAGGAGGAGTGGCAGGTCGCCTGGG